AGCCCTGGCAGGTATCAGTTTTTTGTAGCTCCACAACAGCACTATGGTCATCGATGTCACGCAAAATTTGACAGTCTAAATTTTCCTGTGGGACAACACCAGACTCACTACAAAGTCCCCTACCCGCAGACGAAGAGCGGAAGCAAATGGTAACAGTCTTTAGAAGAAGGGAATGGTAAAGAGTTAAATCTTCCAGAGAAAGGGATGCAGCAAGGAGAATTTTCTCAAGCTTTTCCAGCCTGTGCACATGGTGAGAAAGTTTGACAAGACCTTAACAACTAACGGAGTTTCATTCCAGAGCTTGGGAAACTTTCTCAGCATGTGAAGGCTGAAGACAGAACAGGATGTCACACCAGTCCGCTCAGGATTACAGGGGAAATAAAAGTACACACGTGGATATTGTGCTGGCTGAAAAAAAACAAACAAAAAACCCACCTCAGTTTCCCCTTTTTAGGGGGTTTCTAACAGCAAAACCACTCACAAGACCACAGAAAAAGTTCTTCCAGTGCAGTAACGCAAGCACCACAGCATAAGCACACACTGGACTGCAAATACTGCAGGGAGCAAGCCAGCGACAGAAGAGCTTAGCATTTTCTGTAGCAGGAGGCAGTGCTGCTGTGAAATCACTCTGCACAGGCAGCATCCTTCTATTAGACCACAGATTTCTTTCAACTCCAGCATCCCCGTACTGGGAGAAGAGCCCTCCACCGTTACCAGTCGGCTCACCGTTGCGCAAAGGGGAGCGTTTCTCTGGTTTACGCGGAGAGAGGGCACTGCCAGAGCAAAGGCCAGATTTCTGCCTCCAGCAACAGCAGAAAAGCCCTGCCGCACCCTGAGCTTCAAACTGGTCTCCAGAACCAATGGCTGCTGACAGATGAAGCTCAACTCGGCTCTCAGGCACACCCAGGCACTCCCCCAGAACTGCAAACACCGCATTTGTGTCAACATTTTGAGTGGATTTTGCCCAAGCAGACTCCCCATGTAAAGACGCAGAGGGCCAACAAGTATGAAGACCTGCACGTTACAATTCCTTGCTCGTCCTGTCCAATTTATGTAACGATTACAATTCTACCAAAACAGAACAAATGTGCTTCAAAATCTCTCATCTATAAAACCCGCGTTGGGAGCTGGCACGCAGAAGAGCCACAGGCTGGGCTGCAGCCTGATAGCGCTGGTTCTCCTCCCGCTCTAGTTATTTTTAAAGAGCTGGCACTAAGAGGGGACCACATTAGCACAACACGCTCCCTCCTGTCCTTTGTAAGGAAACTTGCTCGGGGCTATGCTTTAAGCATGTTACAACAGTCCATTCCTTCCAAAGGTATTTGATTTTGAGATAAGAGGGGAGTGTCCAGAACTCTCCAAGAAGTTTAAATATTTTTCGCCAGACCCTTTTGTGGAGTTACAGTCTCATTTGGAGACTTTATGTCTGTCCTTGTGAAAAATTAGAATGGATTTCCAGATTATATCTTTCTGCACCTCCAGAGAGGTGCCAGCATTCGTTCTAGGGTTTTTGAATTCTTTAAAAGGGGAAAAAAAAGAAAAAAGTGAAATTCCACCACCCAATTTAATTCCAAACAAGACCCATTATGTACATCTGAAGGTATTATTGCATCCCTTGTTTGAGGGTCAGTCAGAATTAATCTGAGAAGAATCCAGTCTATGGTCATTAAATAAATACAGCAAAGTTCAGAAAAGCCCAGATAAGGACAGTAAGTGTGTGAAGAGCTGTGCCCTAAGCTCATGCCATTGAAGAACTAGTAAAGCAAGTACCAGCTGCAGGTGAGGATGGACTAAGGCTTGATGCACTACAGGTCACTGAACAAACAACAATTAAGAAGGTGTGGTTTTTACATGAAGAGACAACATCTGCAAGCAGATTGCCTGGAAATCTTCTACAGGGTGGGAGAAAGAGGAGCAAAACCTGCCGAGAAGCCATCACGGGTCACATTTACTACGCAATTCCAATGACCGTTGCAAAACTACTCCAGGGATAAGTTAATCAACGTGCCTGGGCAGAAGATAGGACACTTTGTACAATTCTACTTTAAGGGGTTACATCTAGTGTTGAAACAGCAGATCTTTGCTTGAAAGACAGCCAGGAGAGAAGAATCGGAAGGGTTAATTTCTTCTCAGCACGCCTCCGTCCCACGCAGGCTCAGCACAGGCACGCTGCCGCGTTCCCATAGGAGCTCCTTCACCCCGCGACCCAAAGAGTAAAAGCGAAAGGGATGCAGCCACGTCCCTGCGCAGCTGTCAGCGACTCCTTGGAGATGGATGATCTCCGGTACTTCCTTCCGCACAGCGCTGCGACAGCAGCATCTCCGCTTCTCCCCCAAGTCACTCGTTTTCTCAGGGACAGTGCTCTCGTGCAGAGTACTAACAGGGTGACCTGCGCTAGAGAGACTTGTGCCCTCGGTCACACCAGAAACCTGGGCCAGTGCAGAGACCTTAAGCCTCCAGCTGCCTCTTACTCCCGTAAATGCTGTGGGGCTCAGGCAGAACAGTGAGGAACTGAGGAACCATTGGGAAGGCAAGCCAAGAAAAAGGGAGTGAGGACCCCGGCATATCTCTGTAGGGACAGAAGTCTCTGGGGAGAGCAAAGAGCACCTGGGACTGCAAGGAAGCATCAGATCAAGGAAACAGAAAGCGTTGATCATGAACAACCACAAATGTTAATACCATTGCTATGACACTAAATGGATGCTTGGTAGATAGCAGTTCCCTATCTACTCATTTAAAAATACAAGCTCTACGTTTATGTTACAAACATCCCATGGGATGGGGTTAGCAAGGCAACTGTTACTAGGTAGACAGAGCTATTTCTACTTTGTGTAAATCCCCTGGGGCTCCAGGCAAGCAGGGAAGCACATGGTGGCTCCCAGACAAGATCACAGCAGGCACTCGAGACAACAAGGGAGCTATTCATTTCGAGGATCCCACATCCTGCCTCCAAAAAGCTCAAAGTTTTATTTTCCAGCACTGGAAAACATCTGAACACTTTTGATCTCCTCCTTGAGAAGGGAGGAAGATCAAAGGAACAAGCAAGATTTAAAGGAAGGCTGTTAATCCACAGACCCAAAAAAACTAGTAACAAATTCAGGACAGTGACCCACATACCCTGTAGCCTCAGCAGGGCAAGGCTCCACAGGGATTCCCCACCCCAATGGACGGGCACTGGTAGGATAACGAGCTATTTGCACACCTCAGTGTAATTTTTCTCCCATAGCATTTGAATAGCAGTTACACAAGCCTTTACCAGACAAACCATCATCGCTGCTAGAGAGAACAGAACCCAGGGCAGGAGAAGCCAGCCCTGTGGAGGCATTACCGCTCCGCGGCAAGAGAGAAGCCCAACGTCTGGAGCCTGGAAAGGTCAGAGTCGCCGTTAGCCTGGGATCCGAGAGACGACTCTGTTCAACTGCACGCTTCCAAGATCAGAACAGAAAGAAGAGTATGTGTATCTTCTATCACAGCACAATGACACTCCGCAGACAAGTCCAAGACATTCTTGAATAAGAGCCTACGTAGTGGGGAAGCAAAGCACATCTCAGGATGGAACCAGGCAACAAGATCTACAGTCAAGAGAGATCCTGTTCCCACTACTGGATCAGATACCCACAGCGCTACTGAACAAACAAGAACTGCAAGTTAGGCGTCAAATTAACGCTAACTTCGTTTTGTACTGACTGCAGGGCAGAAACAGGTATGCAACAGGGCAGGGGCTGACACGAGGAAAGTCACGACACAGCTGGCTCTTCTACTCTGGTGCCGTCACCACCTACAATCCCAGAAAGAGCCCCAGCTATCCTCTCTCAAATAAGGGTGTACCGAAGCGCCAGCAGCCACGTTACCAGTGAAAAACATGACTGGAAGCAGGACTTCAGCTACCCGTGTCAGTCACTCTGGACTGGTCTGAGTGTTGCCATCAAAACAGACTCCTCCGTTGCCTACCGCCAGCACCTGCAGTCTCTCCGGCTGGCACCAGTACTCGTTCAACTCCACAGTGAGCCTGCGAGAACTAAGACCTCAGAAGTTAGCTCTCGCCATGCAATTGCTAACACTGTCCTTGACCCTCTCCTGTAAAAACAAAATCCACCACTTTTTTTGCCTGTTGCCTGTCTCCAGGGATACAGACAATGCACAGGGCTGGAAAGTGAAAGAAAGAAAGAAAGAAAGAAAGAAAGAATAAGGGGAGGAAAAGAAAGGGCTTTGGAAGTGTAATTAAAAGTTGGACGCCAGTTGTGAAGGGGCTGATGAAACAGTTTATTTACTGAAGTCTGGAACTGGAATACTTATTGCTGTATAAACAGACTGACCACCAAACGCTCCTCTTCTGGGCTCAGGTCTCCCCCATGTTTTATACCAGCACGCTCTGAAGCCAGAGTTCAAACACTGGACATGAAAGGCCTCTTACCTCTTGACATTTTCACATAGACAAAAATTACTTTAGAGCCTGGGAAATGGAGTACGCTCCCTGTGCAAACACACCCAGCAATCTTCCCCCGGTATGTGCAGATAAGTTCACATCGCACTGGCTGGGTCAGGATCCCCGCTGAAGCAAGGCAGCGGGGCATTTCGTTCAGACTAAGGAAAGGTGTTAGGGCGAGAGCAGTGGGAAGGGAGGGGAAACAGGGTTATTGGCAAGAATCACAGAAATTCAGGAAATTGAAGCAACTCCTATAGAGCCTTACAAAGACCAAGAAAAAAAAATAACAATCCTTTTCTCACTGTAAGAAATCTCTTTTGAGGACTGTGCATTATAGCACAAAACCATCTTAAAGACAGTTTAACAAGAACAAAGGGAGAAAGTATAAGAATTACTAAAAAGTCTGCAGAGGAGATTCCTGTTTTGCTACGGAGTCTGCACAGAACTGAGCCACCTTCTCAGCCCAGAACCGGCAACTCGTAACCATGCTGCTCTAGTAAAACACGGATGTCACAGATGTACAGAACAAATTATCTGGCTCACTTTTCCAGGCCAGCAGTAGGGCACCTCGTACCTTTTTCCTTTTTTTTGAAGAATCATCAGCCAGGTTGGTCTTTTTATCTCTTTCATGTCCTGCTGCTGCCACCTCCTCTTCCTCCTCTTCTGGAATGAGGCTATATTTGGTACCTCCAGGCTGCACAAAACACTCCTTGGCAAAATGACCTGTAAAATAGTGTTTGAAGGAGCAACCCCCCTACCTTTTTTCTTTTTTTTTTTTTTTAAACAACTGCATTTCAGACACCTGAAGTGCCACCAATGATCTTTTTATTATTAGTCACAATAAGAGAATCTACACTGTACATGTTTTGTCCTAGCATTTCAGCTAGTTTAACATGCCCTGATTAAACAAGCCAGGGGAGCAAACGCAACCCAGGTCATTCTGGAAAGATTAGTCAGGCAACAACTATGACACTCGTGTCTGAACAGGGCAATTGGTAGAAACATGTCTGCGCAAGGCCTTAAGCAGCATGGAAAAGTGTATGGCAAAGGGAGTAAACTGGTGTGATAGGCACCTGGTAAATGAGACCCCAAAGCCACATGCAGAGGAAATCAGCTCATTCCGGTTCTACCCTTCCCACTTGGGAGACATCAAAGTTGCCCTACTAACAGTTGTAGTGGAAACTGCAGATAGACAGCATCTGCCTGCCTGTTAGGAGTAGACATCATCATTAAAAAGCAGACTGGAAATATGCAGAATCCAGTTTAAAGTTTTGGGAGTTCTTTAAAACAGTATTTTAAAGATAGTTATCTACCACTACAGAGAACCATATTCATTATTAGCCTTCTCCAGAACAGCATGAACTCCAGCTTAACTATTCACTCTATGGCTAAGTAACATAAGACAAGTAGGGTGCAGCAAAAACTCCATGTACAAAAAAACTACTTTATGCCTCGGCAACTTGCAAAAAGCTACTGAAAAGGCATCATAAAAGCCAACTTCCCATTGCTGTACTAGGCAAAACACAAAAATTCCACCAGGTTAAAAAAAAAAACAAACCCAAACTCTTGTTTTCAGCTCTAAGACGGTGCTCACAAGCTAGCACTGTGTTCCAAACCACTGATCAGTAATTTCCACTGATCGTTCTTCCTAAGAAATGACCTGGTGAAGGCATATGTTTATTTCTTAAAGTGCAAAACTGGACCAAGACCTCAGCTGTAAGACACAGTAACACAAACACTGCAGGAAGGGAACCTGTACTCTGTAGGAAGGGCCTTCACAGGAAGCTCAAAGGGATGCAATTTTAAGAAAGAAACCTGTATAAAAAGGAGTTCAGCTAAGTCTTTCCTTTTCGTAACAAGTGATAGAAAATGTAGTTCTCTAAAGGGACACATGGAAGCAGAATTCAGTCCCTATACACAAGCATGAGACAGACGTCAATACAGTCCTACCTACAGGTCACTACCTGGTTAGAACAAGGCTACATAAAAAAAGTAACAAGACAACGCTGCGCGAGCGTACCTTTGCAACCGCATTTCTTGCACACAGTGTTCAAGACAGCTTCAAGTGTGATCTTCTGACTAGTATAGTCTCTGAACGTGCGTTTTTTCCTCTCATCCTGACTGGAAAGAGAAGAAGAGTTCCATTTTCAATCGACTCTCATCTTTAACCCTGTATATTTATGTGGACACGATCTAAACACAAGTTTTTTCCAGTGTTGCTCTAAAAGCACCACTTAATCAGCTAAACCAAAGAACGGAGCTGACCAACTGCTCATTAGGATAAACCATATTGTTAACAGCATATTACCTGTCATCATCTACTTTTGAGATAAACTGAGCACTCTCTACACAAAGCAGACAAATGTGGGGAGCTGCAGTTACACCCTTTATACTAACATCTGTATTATGTATGTGAATATACACACACGTATGAACTTGTGCAGTATGAAAATAAAGCGATTTTATTTGACCTGCAAGAGATGTTGCAAACAAAGGCAGACAAGGAAGCTCTGAAACATCTGAGCAGTTAAGATTTGATTTCGTAGCATGTGAAAGCGACACAAATCCCCAGCTGGAATGAAGAGTCCTTCCAGTTCAAGCGCATGGCCATCACAACACCGGAACAAAAGTGCTGCTGCGGTGTGAAGGGCTGGAACCCACTGCAGGCTCCTGCAGCTCCTGCCTGCCTCTAGGCAGCATAACCCAGGGAGTGCCCTCAGCCAGCCCCCCAGCCAGCCAGCGCGTCACTGGGGGCTCAGGAAAAGCCCCCCCGCACCCTCCAAAGGAGGAGGGACCTAGAGAATAAGTATGGCAGGAAAGCCAGCAACGAAAGGCAGGGAAAAGCAGGCAGCAGCGACCTGTCTGATCTGTTGTATTCCGCTCAGCAGATTTACCTACTCAAGAGAAACATTGTTGGGATCGAGGTCTTTTCCCGTGCCTTGGTTAACAACCTTCATGGAGAGGGAGAGTTTCAGTTTGTCATCTTTCATCTGAAAGGGGAAGATATGGAACGAGAAGAGTAAATGACGGTAATTAATACCCTGGGTCTGGAGGCCTACAGAGAAGGAAGGAAACTGGTAGTTAGCAAAGAGCGGCACCACACAGGATACTACACGAAAGTGCTTTTGTTCTATTATTTTGTAGCTGCATTTAGAGTGTTCTAGCTACTAAAACAGCTTCTGTTAAGCAGCTATCTCAGTAATAAGACAAGATCAAACTATAGGTCCGTTCAGATTAACATTCTGCTTTCAATATGACCAAACCCAAGAGCTGTAGACAAAAGTGCATATTTGGAAGCTTTGCTGTAATTCTCAAATCATCCACCCCCAGGGCAGTTCCCCCTGGAACAGTACTTTGGCTGACTTGTATCCTGAAAAATAAAACTTTGTATCTTTTTTTCCCATTTTGATCCTCTTCAGAGACTAAAAAAATGGTTTAGGTATCTCTGTTAGGGGCTTACTCTTCTCTGAATCCTAGTAAGTCCTTGATTGACACATTATCACTTTAGAAGCAAGAGCAAAAGTTGTATGTTTAGGGTTTTTTCAAGCCTTTCTTACAACTTTCTGCACTTTCACCAATGCTGCTATTCAAGTTACTCCTGTTTTGTTTATGACATCTATGCAGTTATTTGCAGGCAATCTAACAGTGACCTCTTCCGCTGTCCACCTCTCCAACACGCTTCTGCCCCTTGCCTCTACAGCAAAGAAGGCAGGAACCAAACAACTGCATTCCAGATAAAGAAAAGTGGCTTAAAAATTTATACAAACAAACAAAATTTTAAAAAAGCACACCACAGATGGCTAAAAAGAAGCTGTATAGTCTTTCACATGGTTTTTCTATACTGTGTAAACAAGACCAAGTTTCTCAATCCGTTTCCCTTATCTCACACAAAAGTAAGTCCTTGTTTTGTACATCAGCCCGATTATCTTCTTTCGAAAAATTGCAAAGCATTTATGGCCAAATCTTGTGCAACTTTGAACTGAACGCTTCCACCTTGATCCCAACAAAACAGTCAGCTTGTTTTGTTTCCATGGCTCAGCAAAGCATCTCTAGTTTTTGTTCCAAGTAATCTTTAAACACAGACGATACGCCTATTGTCCCATCTTCTGCAGAAGAAAAAGCAATGTAGGTTGGGGGGGGGCGGGGAGGAATGTATCATGCTCTTACTTCAAAAGAAACAAACAAAAAGCTTCTGTATTTTCTCTTGGGCACAATTCACTGCCACGGATACTTTCTTGAAAACAAACAAACAAACAAACAAAATCTCCGCTTCTTCTAAGAACATGCCTGTCTCTCAAAACAGTTAATGAACTGTGTTTATATCTGCTCTTATCTTGGGATCCTCTCAAATTGCTCATTTAGCCACCAAATCACACAGTTGTGACGCAAGCTGTGAAGGGGCACACAGGGGAAGAAAGGCAAGCGTTTTGTTGCTTTTAAGCCGAAAGCTTTTACGAAATCCCTTTTTCTGAACCGCATTGTTGCAAGTCACAGAAGCAATGTGCCCGAAGTCACATCTGGAGGCAAAGAGAATTCACCTGTCGGTAAAACAGAGCCCATCAAACCCCGACACAGCGACAAGAACATGCAGCCCCTGTGTGCAGAAGTTCTCAGTGGTTTTGCAGTGTATTTTATCTACACTGCACTAAAGAAACAAGAATTCACGTTACCTCTTTTCCGATAAGCTTCACCCATACTTTGTCTCCAACATCTACTATCTCTGAGGGTTTATCCACACGGCAGCAGGACATGTGAGTCTTATGGACAAGGCCTGGTCGTGGTTTTAGAAGAGAAGAAAGGGAAAAAATAAAGACAAGTCTCCACTGAATCTTATTTTTGCCCTCTAGAACAGCAGTCTCCAAAGTGGGGTGGATGCGAGACAATCCTTTGGGGTGTGGGAAGAAAATATTTTTGTACGATTAATACATCAAATTTAAAAAAAAAATTGATAGTGCTTATTTCATTTTTAGCTCATCCTTTTTTAATTTCTATTTTTGAGTATGTTTTATAATGTACATAACATTAGTAGAGGAGTACATGTATATAATTTATAAATAAATATACGTATATTGAGGACCATGTGCTCAAAAATTTTTTAACTGATAGGGTTAACTGATTTTCACTGATGGTGCACCGGGGGTTCACAACCAAAACCGTTTGGAGACCACTGCTCTGGGAGACAGGGAACATATTCAGAGGCTGCCCTAAGCAAAACTAACTATTTCTTTCCTCCCGTACATTATGCAGGTGAGAATCAACTGGTTGCATCAATCAAACATAGAAAAGCTCAAGATCTGCTCCAAATTAACTCAGAGAAGCAGGGCCCCACCCCAAAGCAACGCCTTTGTGCTCAAAATACCAGGCGCCCGTAGGGAGAACTGTAGCAGGCACTGACGCCTCTCCCCTCCCGCCTGTCCTCTGAGGCCACCCCAAGGAGCGGAGAATAAAGAGCCCATTTCACGCATCAGCAACACAATACTTTGCTGGCAAAGTCAAAAGCATGAAACACCACGGCTGCCCTGATCTCGTGCACTTGCAAGGTCACACAGCCCCAAAACTGTATTTTTAATTTGCGCGAATGACACGTGGGCTACAGGGTTATACAAGGGAGGATAAATATGGCAACACACCTTGCTGTCCAAGCTCGTATTTCAGAGCCCGTTTGCGTCTCAAAGCGACTTTCCCCCAGCAGCCACATTTCTGTCCAAAAACTTTTATTAGAACTGGCACTACAGCGGCTGGGCGCTTCAAGAGGAGAGTGGAGAAGGGGTTATTTGTGGCCTACCAGCACCTGACAGAACATCCACCGTAAGCTGCTGCTTCTGTAAAATGAGTTTGTTTGACTTCGCAAGTTTCCCACAAAAGTAGCCAGAGCTTTCAGTCAGCTTTTCCGGTTTATTTTTTATTTGAGCTTCATTTCAGTCTTTTTTATTTAACTCATTCATATTGGCTAGGAAAGAAATAAGTTGGGAAAACTATCTAATTGTAGAAAGTTTCTATAGTTTGTCCAATACCTTAAAATGATTCTCTAAAATATCCTGAAGTTACCAAAAAGCCCTCTGAATCTTTTTGGTATTCATGCAAAAATACCATCTTATTCTAAATACTTTCCAAGAACCTCAATTTCTTCCTAATTTATTAAAAAAACCCACCTTTTCCAAGCTTTTTCTAAAAGCTAGCAAGCTCTTCAGTCAGAGGACAACTGCTTGCTCGAACACGCCGACATGATGCTACATCTAAACAAAATAGGAGAAACAAACCTTGTTTCCTGCAGCCTGGAATTTTTATAAACGCCCCATATTCTGTCACTGTAGCAACCTGTGAAGAAAGTCAATACAACACCTAAGGCAAAGCCCTTCACGGAACACCTGCCTGCAAAGCACAGGCTGGAAAATGCACAAAAAGTCTACATGGTTCTCCTGCTTTACTTCAGTTTTAGATTTCAAGGCAGGTTAGACACTGCAATGCCTGGTAACTCCGGAGCAGGTGTGATCAGCCAGCCACTCCTGCGTTATTCAGACAAGCATCTTGTATGTATATGCATGTATACATCTATATTGTGTTCAAAAAACGGGTAGATGTAGCACTTGGGGACATGGTTTAGTCTAGTCTACCCTTGATTGGCTTAGAGTAGACTTGGTAGTGTAGGTTAATGGTTGGACTGGATGATCTTAAAGGTCTTTTCCAACCTAAACGATTCTATGATTCTATATGTACGCACATAAGCACACAGAAACACATACGTAACTGTGTGTATATGCAGAATAGAACCATCAGTTACCCAAACCGCCACCGAGCCAGCGCTTAGAACAACCAAATTGAGAGCAGAGCACGCCACGGCCACGGTGTCTCCCGGGCCCCGGGGTGCGCACCTCTCCCTGGAAGATGGCGTAGAGCTCAGGCAGCACCTCCATCGCCGCAGGCCCCCCGGGCTCCAGGCCAGAGACGCTCGGGCGGTCCCGCCGACGCCAGCTGAATTCACGGCGGCCTACTGCACGGTCACCAGCGAATTCTGAGAGATGCCTTGGAAAGAAACATTGCATGAACGCCTGAGCCCACCCGCGGACAGACCCCTTG